AGCTATGACACCATACCATGATGGGCTGTAGGCTGAGCTATGACACCATGCCACAGTGGGCTATAGGCTGAGCTATGACACCATGCTATAATGGGATGTAGGCTGAGCTATGACACCATACCATGATGGGCTGTAGGCTGAGCTATGACACCATGCCATGATAGGCTGTAAGCTGAGCTATGACACCATGCTATGATGCTGCTGTAGGCTGAGTTATGATGCCATGCTATGATGCTGCTGTAGGCTGAGCTGACACCATGCCATGATGGACTGTAGGGTGAGCTCTATCACCATGCCATGATGGGCTGTTGTAGATGTAACCAATCGTCTTTTTAAAATAAGAAACACAGAGCCAATGTAAAAGAGAAAGCCGAGAGGTCAGGGCTCAGAGATAAAATCTTACCTCCTGCAGTGCTCCTAGCTTCCCCGAGAGAGAGCTTTTTCCTGTTTGTCTATCTTTAAATAGTCTTTCTGTTCTGCCTTCTCATTGGTTGTAAACCCAACCACATGATTGCCTCGTCACTGCCTGTAAGTACTGCCCTCCAGGTCTTAAAGGCGTATGTCTCCAATACTGGCTGTATCCCTGAACACACAGAAATCTACCTAGTTCTTTTAACCATCACGCTCTTGCTATGGCTCTAATAGCTCTGACCCCAGGGCAACTTTATTTATTAACATAAAATTAAAATCACATTTCAGTACAAATAAAATATCACCATAGGCTGTAGGCTGAGCTATGACACCATGCTATGATGCTGCTGTAGGCTGAGTTATGATGCCATACTATGATGCTGCTGTAGGCTGAGCTATGACACCATGCCATGATGGGCCATGTTTCTTGAAAGTGATTCAAAACTAACCTCTAATTTGCTCTTATCTTCCACAGCAAGAAGAAAAGTAACTCATGTAGTTTCTTGGCTCTATGATTTCACTGGTCTAACATGAACAACAGCTCAAGCAGCAATATCACTTCCAGAGTCCAAGTCTTGTTTCTAGTATTATTTCCTAATTAATAGAACTGAAATTTGTTTGGGATGGCTGATTGTAGGCTAGGCCAAAGAAGGGCCAGTTAGAGCCTATGCAACCAGAAATAGAGGAAGTAGCCAAAAGGAAAACCAAACAAACAAACAAACAAAAAAATACAACAAAAACAAACAAAAAATGGAAGAACCAAACTAAAAATACACCGAATCCCACCCTGATGGGAACTTGGGAAGGGACAAAGGGCAACTAAAAGCACTCCACTGGATAAAAAGGAGAGTGTGGGAACAATGAAGTATCGGACTGTAACAGTATGAAAGAAGTGTCTGTGTGCCCATATCCATAGGAGTGACGTGATGTTTCCTGTAGGAGACCTCCCACCCATGCTTGGGCGAGACACTGCAATGAAACCTGATGGGTTAGATGCAAAAGGACAGGAAAGTGGACTTGCAGGGAGAAGGGTTTGGGGGGAGAGGAAAGAGGACAAAAGGAGATGCTAAGTGACTAAAATTCATTACTTGTACGAGATTGTCCAACAAACAAGTTTTTCAAAATACTGAAATGACAACTCTCTCATGGAAAATAATTCCAAGTAACTGTTAACGCACTGTTCACAGCAAAGAGCAGCATACATTTCCATGTTCTAGGAATGGACTGCACTCTGTGACTTCCTTCCGAGGAGCAGGGCCAGGCGGACAGAAGCACTTCACAGTGACAAACCTCCACTCCAGTGAGGTCCTGCGTGCTCTTGGTAAGCGACCTGTGAAACCTGGATCTGTAAGGCCTCGGTCAAATGCTAACTGCCCGCTACTATGCCTGCACTATAAGGCACCGAACAACTGTTTCTGTAATTAAGAATAAAATGCTTAAACGTTATCTACATCTAACTTTTGCAGTTTTAAATACACAAACAAAACTCTGTGTTTGTATAATGCATGGGGGCGGGGGCGTTCATGTGCTATGGCATGTGCGGGCAGAGGACCATGGGCGGCAGCCCCTGCCTTCTGCTTCATTGGAAGCAACGTCTCTGGTGTTTTTCCTGATGTGGATTCCAGGCAAGCTGGCCTCCAAACTTCTCCCTGGAGGAATAGCAGAGTTATGGATCAGAGCTACCTAGATCAGCTTTTCACTGGTTCTGGGGATCAGAACTCAGGTGCTAGGATTTGAACAGCAAGTATTTTATACACTGAGCCAACTCCCAGCCAAAGTATTTGTTTTGAAAACTATTGATTGGAATACCATTAACTTATTGTATGACTAAAGTATCAGCTTTTACATATTTGTAATATGTAGTTCTATATAGATCTTAGTGTAATTTTATTTTAGAGCTATTGAAGAGATACATGCACATTACCATTTTGTGGCTTTTATGTGCTGATAGCAGAAGCCCCATATTATTTCGTTCTGTCTTAGTATTGAGTTAGGCCAGTATATCCTTGCTGGGCTATTCAAAGCTTGACTTTACAGCTCTGAGATCTGAATTATCCAACTAACTTCTAACAGAATGGGGATGCCCTGCTGTCTGTTCTTAAGTCTGCTGCCAATAAGTTACTCTAATCCTGCTTTCCTGACTTTGTTTATGGACTATAGCTAGAGTTTTCCTGGTCCTGCCTGGCCCATGGTCAGGACAAATCTCTCTCACCCGCCAGTCCTGCAGCCGCTCAGACCCAACCAAGTAAATACACAGAGACTTATATTGCTTACAAACTGTATGGCTGTGGCAGGCTTCTTGCTATCTAGTTCTTCTATCTTAAATTTACCCATTTCTATTAATCTATTCTTTGCCACGTGGCTCATGGCTTACCGGTACCTTACATGTTGGTACTCATGGCGGTGGCTGGCAGCGTCTTCTCTCAGCCTTCCACTTCCCAGAATTCTCTTCTCTGCTTGTCCCACCTATACTTCCTGCCTGGCTACTGGCCAATCATCATTTAATGATACAGAGCGATATCCACAGCACTGGACTTTGTTAATGAAAATATAATACTTAACGCTCAGTAGATAGAGGACAGTGTACATCATCAGTGGATGACTTGTTTCAAATTTGTTAGAAGTAAGGATATTGAAGGTTTTGTCATAAAGATGATAAAAGATATAATTTTGCTAATTTGATTAAGTGAATACATGTATTACAATACTACATTATACACTGTTCATCTGTATAATAATGAATTACAAATAAAACTAAATTAGCCTATGGTTCTAAAATTTAAACATGAAAATTGCTGGATAGATGCAATTTGTTTGGGAAGTTAAAGGCATATAGTTTTTCAGTTTCTCAAAATGAAATCAGGTTCAATTTGTGGAGAGCTAAATATGTAGAAATAGTTTTTGCTTCAAAACCAAAGAAATTGGCAATGGATATTCTCAGTCTCTGGAGGCTTAGACATCAAGGTCAGTGGCTTAACTTTCGCCTTGCCCTCTTCTGTGACATCCTCTCCAGTGTGAGGCTGATCCACAAGCTGTCCGGACGAAACCGCTTGCAGTATCATGTGCTTCTTAAGAAAGCTTGTTTTGTTTTAAATGTCTTATCCACAGCCCAGCATCCTCCCATCTCAGGTTTCCTCCTAATCAACTGATAGGAGCAGGATGTCCTTGAGGCCACATGGAATGCAGTTGTGGCCCTTTCTAAACTGGGGCTTACTTTGTTTAAATCTTTAGAGTTACTTGCTTCTGTAAGCATTTTCTTTTCCAGGTACATAACTCAATTCCCAAAACTTTCTGCAATAATGTATTTTACTTTATTGCTTTCCTTGCTGGTAAGTTGACCCATATGCAACATATATGTAAGAGGGTCAAGAGAAACCAGGCTTGGTGGTATAGGCCAGTAATCCTAGCTACCCAGGAGCTGAGGCAGGATTGAAAACTCAAGGCCATCCTGAGTTACAGAGTGAGTTCATGGCCAGCTGGAGGAACACACTGAGACTGTGTATAAAAACAAGGAGTTACAAGACATCTAGAGATATAGTTCATTGGTTATAGCTCTTTCCTAGCACACAATGGGGCCTAGGTTCCTAGTACCACCAAGAAAATACACAGTTCACAGCCTGTTCTGAGCACCCTCTAGGTCTCCAGTGACTGAAGTGATGATCCCATAATTACAAAATAAGAATTTGCAATGTTAGTTTTTGACTAGTTCAATTTTCAACACAAAGGATTTGTTTCTAGTTTTCATTAGGGTATTTTCCTGAGGTCTCTTAGGGAATGGCTCACCATTCATTTAAGAAACACTGGGCATCCACTCTGCACATGCTAGTCCAGTATTTCGGCCACCAAGGAGACATCACTGAACATCCTGATTTCATGAAGCTTGCATTCTCCTAGAAGGCAGAAAATAAGAAAACAAACAAACAAACAAACAAAAAAACTAGCGAGCATAACTACTATGAAAAAGAGAACAGAGCAAAGAAAGGGAGAAGGTCGGGAAGGGGCAACACTTTAACCGGGAGCCAAGGGTAGGTGTCTTTGCTGGCATTGGTAAAGATTCTTCTGAATAGTTAACTGCTCTAAGGTCTTGGGCAGTAGGACGTCCAGTTATTCCAGGGGCAGGGAGCAGGCCTAGTAGAAATAAGTTGTGCGGAAAGTGTTGGGAGGTGGCTGGTAGGTGGAGATTGGGAAGCCAATCAGAACAGGATTTTTAAGGCTATACGAAAAGATTCTGGCTGGGAAATTTGATTGGCTTCTTCCCTGGCTCACACAGTTCTGAATGCTCAGGCACACCCATGCCACAGTATGGGTGTGAGCAAACCTTGTTTATACTCACACCCAAAGTCCACTCTTCCCTCCTGCTACACAGGGTCTCACTTATCCTGGAACGGCCTTGAACTTGCTTTATTTTTAATTGACATTAACCCTGAATTTCTATTCTCCAGGCTCTATAGCCCAAGAGCTGAGGTCATAGGCAATTGTTACTACACCTGATTTAGGTGCTGCTGGGGATTTAACCCAGGGTTTTGGGCATGTTCAGCAAGGGCTCCTAATTTGCCACTTTTTTAAAAAGTGAAAACAGCCTGGCGATGGTGGAGCACACTTTTAATCCCAGCACTCAGGGGGCAGAGGAAGACAGATCTCTGAGTTCAAGGCCAGTTTCAGAACAGCCAGGGCTACACAGAGAAACCCTGTCTCAAAAAAACAAACCAAACCAAATAAAAAAAAAAAAACAAGCATCCCTGCCCCACCCCCAACAAAAAAGAGAGAAAGTATCTTGCTTCTATGAAGGGAAAACCATGGAGAAAACAGAACAGACTACTCAGGCCAGACACCTAAATTACAGTTTTAATTCACTAGTTGCTATTTTAAATATTAATGAACCTTCTGCATTCTTATTTACAGGTCGAAACAGTATCTGTTTCCAGGTTCTTTGTTGTTTCTTCTCTTGGTTTCTCTTAGCATCAATGCAGTTTGTACTTTTTAATCTTGTTCCCTATTTACAGATTAATCTGCCAACAGTGGAAATATATTTTATTGTATTGAAGACGCGAGAATGCTGTTCCAGCAAAAGAGAAATTAGATATAAGTTGCAGAGTAAAACAAAAAAACTACTTTGCTATTACTTTGAATGGAACAGGCAGTTTCTATTTTGGAAAGTCTAAATGATGGCTTAAATCAATTTTTCTTTGGGTAGACACAACAGAAGGAGATAATACAGGGTTTGTAATGCTTTACTGACTGTTATGAGAATTTACGAGTACATCCTTAAATTACATTTAGCACAATAGTAGCATTGTTAAGGGCCAAGATTCCAGGACAGAGGAAGTAACTGCTGGCTTTACTTTTCCACACCCCCTTTCATAAACCTTTTGTAAGAATGCGATGCAAGTGTTTTATTTCTCAAGTCCAAACACTTCTCAGTTTCCTTGCAAATTCGTTTGTAACAGCAGAGGTTCTTCAGGAAAATTACTTCACAGTAATTCAGAAAAGAAGCGGGAGGTTTTACTATTCACATTAGAGGTGGACTGAGAGGTGTCTGGGTCTCAGGAGCTAGAGTCACATTATTTCAGAATTCAGTCTTACTTAATTCGCGACTACTTACAGAGACATCTATCGAAATGTGTTTACTCTGACACATATCCCATTACATACAGCTTAAAATAAAAATCCCAATAAAGCTGTGGAGAGAGACTGCAGCTATCGGGCAAAAGCGGCTGGATTTAAGGGTCTCTGTGGAAGAAACACTAAACTTTCAAGTTTAGGCAGGTTCTGGCCAATCAGCAAGGCAGCAAGCAGCCCTATCTGTGCCAGGATCGGGGGCGAAGGCGATCTGCCGGGATCGCGTCTACAACCTGTCGCGCCCAGCACAGGCGTCCCTGCGCGCTGGGAGGACGGGGATAAGTTCCTGCCCAAGTTTCGGAGCGAGGCGCGGCGGCGCGGGCGGGCGGGCGGCAGTTTCGGCCACCGCGCCTGGAGGCGGCCGCCGAGCCT